AATTTGATTAATAAAGTTAAACAGGGATCATGAGAAAGAGAGAGAGAAATAGAGCAAGAGAGAGAAAATGTGGGTTCTATTCAATTTAATTTTCTATTAATGTGATAATTAATAAAAAAAATAAAAAAGTGAAAAAATTGCATAATCCATAGGCTTTTTAACTTTTTAATATTAAGAAGTAAAAAATAAGCTATTGTGAATTTTCACTTCACATATACTTTTTGACTTTTTTTTATAAATTTTAGGGTTAATGTACATTATGGCCCCTTGTATATATACTTATAATGATGTACAAATTTACATCATTTACTTGTATGGAGCACAAAGATCCATGTGTGTATGTCGAAAAAATTTTAAGGTTCTGGTTAAAATTTTCTAAAACCCAAGGAAATTTATGGAAAAAAAAAAAACAAAAATAAAAATCAATTATTTTTTTTTATTATTCCTTTCTTTTTTTTGAGGGAAAAGGTATAGAAATTTTTAAATAGGAAATTATTATTCTAACTTATTTACCTTTAGGTCTTTATTAGAAACTTAATTGTTACGGTGAAAAAATGAAAAAAAGAAAAAAAAATTGATAAATTGTTCTATTTTGGGAATTCTATTATTTTAATTATAAGGATAAAAGGAAAGTAAATTTTTGGTTTTGTGATTTGTATCCATCTGCTACTTTATTTGCTAATTTCACACAAATCGTAATAATTATTAACAAGTGGCTAAAAATCGACAATATATTTAATACCTTTAACACTATCAGTTTTAAGCCAATTAACTTAGGGATTGTAAACTCAACACCACTGTAAATTTATTTTTATTTTCATAATATTATAATAGTAAATGGTAGTAAATGCGGCCCATCATTCTGCTTGGAAAAAAAAAATATATTCGATTACGATTATTGAAATTTTTCAAAGAATTTTAAGAATTCAATCATAAATTATAGATATGTACATATAAGTATAAGTACAATTCTATACAAATTTATTACTTGCTAAAACAAAACAAACAATAAACTCAGTTGAAAATGTCATTTCTTCTTGTAGGTAGGTAATGTAAGAAACTCGAGTAGTTCATACTCATGCTCTTATAATACATATTTGCCCATAACCTACAGTTTTCGGGCGCTTATGTGAAATTAGACCAAGTTTGTCGACGTTTGGTAACGAATTTCAATTTGAGTAATACAGTTTGTAAAACTGATTGGGAGTTGAAGAAAGTTCAATAAGTTAATTTTTGGAGAATTTGAGAATTTTGAGTTTTTTTAAAGCTTGAGCTGTCAACCTCTCGATTTTTCTCATTCTCTCGGGAGAAATGATTATTGAAGAGTTTAAAATGGAAATTGGTTTGCTTCATGTTTTTTCTTACTAAATTTTAGACAGTTAACAGGAATTTTAATTAATTTTCATGCTAAATAAAAAAATTTTTCGATTTTAACCACATTAAGAACAATCTACTGGTATAAAGAAATTTTTTTTCTGATTCAAGTATGAACAATTGTTGGGATTAGAAATATGTTATTTTCGTAATATCGTAACCATTTAAGATTCGTATATGAAAAATTTTCCGATCGGTTTTATTAATAAATAGATTTATTATAAAAATCGCATACATAATTCTAATTTTAAATATTGTGCCAAATTTTTAATATAAATCGAAAATTAAAGTAAAAAATTTGAAATTTTATTCCATTTTTAAAATTTTCTATAAAATTCAATTATCCTTAAGAAATTAATAAATTTCCAGTTTAATAAAATTCCCAAAAAAAAAAAAATTTTTATTAAAAAGTTTCACTTATAAAAAATGAACATTTTCTTTATTTTTTTGATTTTGAATCCACCCCCAACTATTTAAATTTATGTATAGGCATAAAAATATTCATAAAAAAATTTACCTTTAATTTTTCATAAATATTAAGTAGAGAGGAAAAAATGAATCCTTTAAGATTATTTAATTTTCAATTCATTAAGAACGTAATAAGAAGTTCTCCCGTTTTGAATTCCATATTTTGAAGATGGAAGATGGAATTTTTTAATATAGATTTTAATATAGAAAAGAGGGGTTGGATAATCTAGAATTTTTTATTACTATTTTTTTTTTTGTTTTTGAAAATTTACTTTGTAGGCTTTTTAATTTTCAAAAAAAATTAAAAGAATAAAAGAAAAAGTCTAGGATTTTTAATAGATTTTTGGCTTTATTTTTATTTCTTATATTTTTTTTATATATACGTTATTCATTTTCATAATATTAAAAAATGTTCCAATTTACTCAATTTATTCCATTTTTTTTCTAATAATAATAATAATACGTGCTATTAATAAAAGGATATTAAGGTTATTATTATTATTGCATATACGCTTAGAGGCTTCAGTCTTTAAGAGTAAGAGAAGAGAAATTTTTTGCCCCCCCCCTACTGCACAATATTTTTTTTTTTTTGTGTTTGTAATATTGTATTGTAGTACCGAAATGTTAATCTACCATATTTTTTTTTCTCTTTGCCTATTATTTTATTATTAATATTGTGTTGTTGTTGTTGGTATATGGTTGAACCCATAATCTTATCATATTGCAACAGTAATATAATATTTTTTTTTTATGAGAAAAAATTTTCATTATTTTTCAATAAAAATAAAAAAGAAAATAAAAAAATGGTAATAAAAAAATGTAAAAAAAATGTAAGAAAAGGAATGTATGAGTTATGGAAAATTTTTATAATTTCTTTGTTGAATGATTTCTTCATGAATATAGAAGTTAATAATAAAATAAGGTAGTACAGACATTTGTTATCGCATATTTTCATGTACGAGTAGTTGTGTTTTACAATCTTAAGGTAAACAAAACAGTTAACATTTTAGAGTAGTTTTGGACTTATCAGTTAAATGTAGTAGCATAGTATAAAAATTCAAAATTGGCCTTAGTAATTTGAGTCATTGGGTGCAGATCTGAGACTAATAACCGTTGAATTCCTTTATTAACCTGTATTTTATTTCGGGCGGGAGATGAAAATCATCCGGAATGAAGAAATGGGCTCAAAGATATGCAAAAAAATAAAAAAATCATTCCATCACTTAAGAAATCTGACTTCAACAATGCAGCATAAATGATTTTACTGCTTTGAAAAATTGAGTCTAAAAATGGTAACTCAGAATCCAAACTTATAGTGCATATTAGTTTTGTTGTATTATTAAATTGATCTGGGCTTATTCTCTGAAACATTTCACTCTTGTTTATTGTACGTATAAATTGTTATTTACGGTAATAAATTTTTAGCATGCTGTACAATATCATAATCTTAAAATTTAATATTACTTTTATGATAGACTTTCCAGATTAGAAAATTATGAGTAATCTAAGAATATATAAGTAATTAATTTAAGTTTACCTAGAACACCTAAAAATAGTTATATTAAATACGTAGATTAAAGCGAAATAAAAGTGATTTTCGCTGATGTCATAAAATTTTTGTATGAGAAATAATTGAATATTCCAGGTAAAAATATTTTTTGTTATGAGGTTTCTTGATATAAATAATAAGAAGTTTCTGAATGTATGTGTGATAAAATGTCCCTGAATATGTATGAGTATATCTCCAATTTTTTAAACGAATTCTCATTTTCTGGAAACAAATCTCATAAACGATAAAGTTGTAACAGTTCAGTTGGATTATGGTAAAAAATTCATTCTGATGCTAATCTTTCAATATTTCATATTGAATTTCTGATTGACACCGAAATGTCATAAACGAAATAATAAATTTGTCATAATTTATAAGCAAATTAATTCTTACATAAGGTAAAAGTAAAAAATATCATCTTTAATTTTTCATTCATCATTCTTACAAAGAATGCATACAAACACACACGCATTTTAGAAATGTAAGATTAAGTAATGTAAAAAAAGTTATTGAAGAGTTAGAGAAGATTGTGGGATCCAATTTTAGATGTTAAATTGTAATTTTTTCTACTTTTTCTTTCTTATTCAGGTACACATTGTATTGCGAACAAGTCAAAAAAAAAAAAATGTGAATAATAAGGAAAAATATGGCATTTTTTTTTTGCTCTCAAACTTTCAATTTTTTACCATAGTGAGTATAAAAGTAAGGAGTACATTTATCTTATGTAACATATATTAGGGGTATAAACGTATGTATAGAATATGTTTTTTACCGTTATTAAACATTATGTTTTTTCCCTCATTTGATTTTTTATTTTTTTTTTTTAAACTTCTGCTTAAAATACGTGGAAAATTAAGGAAATTTTTATGTATTTTTCTTATCGACTTGTTTTATTCTTTTTTTCTCTTTCTCCAATTCGTTTATGTAACTTTAAAATTGGGACCTATTTTGTTGTATATTGTTGTAAAGTTTATGGAATAATATAAGGGTTATTTGATGGAGTATAAAGAGAATATGATGATTTTTCTAAATATTTAAAGCGGCGTAATAAATCAAAAAAAAAAATAATGGTTTTTTAAAGATTTTCATGCAAGATTTGCAGAGAAAAATATTAATGATCTTTATTGTATATACAAATCTTTTGAATTAAGAAGAACTCAGATATGAATTGGAATTGAAAAATTGACTGAATTATAATTTTTCGGATATAATTTAACAAAGGTTTTCAATTTAAGCTATAAAATCAGCCTGATTTCTTAATACAAGCTCGTTGAACCATAGTTTATATAGTTTAGCATGTAAGCTAATAAATTCGAATTTAAATATTTTCAGTTTGAAAGCTAAAACTACATATTTTGTAATGGTCTTCTATGCTCTTGTTTTAGTAATTTGGAAATGTATTGAAATATTTTTTAAAAAATTTAATTGAAGTTAAATATTTTGTCTGACTTTGTTTTCAAAATCGTATGATAGTCATTGCACTTATTTGACTTTCAATTGAACTTAATACATAAGCAAGTTTAATATTTTAAAATTTTATTAAATAATTTTTAATTGTAACTTGTTTATTACAAAATTTACTAAAGAACTTTTTCCTTTTTATTTTCAGATTTCACTAAAATAAAGTAGAGAAATACATAAAAGCCGGTAAGTAGAAAAATTCCTTTTTAATAAATTTTTTTGAATATTAAATTTGGCATATTAAAAAATATTTTCGAAAATATTTTAATATTAATAAATATTTATTATTTATTAAATAATTTTAAGTAAAAGGAATAATTTTGCACTTAAACAAAGTGGTAAAAATATGAAAAGTGAATAAGAAAAGTGAAACGTGAAAATAAATTAGTGATAGTGAAAGTGAAAATTAAAGAGTGTGAATTTAGTTTTAAATATTTCTAATAGTAATTACCGTGGTTACATGAAAAATTTTGAAAATTAATTGTCTTTTTATTGTTAATTAAAGTATTCATTTGTTATAGATTAATGCAATTTAATATAATATTAGACAATGGAAAATTTAAAATTTATTGTGGCTATAAAATAATAATTTATTAATAATTTTAATATTAGAAAATGTTCTATTGTAATTAATAGAATTTTTAATGGATTGGAAATTGAAATATTTGAGACAGTCAATATTGTCGGGGTGTTTTCGAAAAGTAGAGGAGAATATTTTAACAAATTTATTATAGATATTTTCGAATTTCCAAAATATAAACATAGTTTTGTAATATCGAATCATAAAATTTTATTTAATTTTGTAAATTATTTAACAGCAGTACTCGTAGTTTTGTCAGAATAAAAATAAATGTTTCACGATTATTCCAGAGATTTTACAATAATTCTTCTTATATTTTCGTAGTTAGCAATTCAAACGACTAAATATTCGAGGTCTATCTCGATAATATTAAGAAATACACTTTTAAAAGTCTGAGATAAATTCTTTAGTTATTGTTGCCTTTTCAATAATAAATTTATAACGCAAGAAATATGTGACACAAGAGCCACTATTTCAATTATTCTATGTATTTTATCATTTTATAAATATTTCATTGTTATTAAATTCTATAATTCTAAATAATCAAACCAACGTAATATTCAAGCATTTTAAATGCCCCATATTCTTCTAAAATTATCCAAACTTACATATGAACCCCGTGAAGTTAAATTTAAAATACAAAAGCTTCATTCACCATTAAATTTAAGGTTCATTTCTATTATTTCTAAAACTTCATTATCTTATATCCCAAACTTCCCCTACACTATATATTATGTAAGCTTTACATATATACGTTCTTTATTATTCGCGCTAATTTAATTTTTCATCATGTTTGTTGAATATCAAGTGTGTTGTAATGGTAACTAGAATAATATGTTGATTTTGTTTTTTTCATTTTACTATTTTTTATAATTAAAATATTTTGAAATTTTTTCTTAATTTATAATGACCATTGCGTGTTACTAATTACAAAATATGGTGTTGAAATACGAGAAAAAAATCATAGAAATTAATATGAAAAACAAAAATATTTCAAGGGAAAAAAAGGGACCGGTGGATATCTTTTTTTTATATATTTTTTATTTTTAGGGTCCATAATTAAAACTATTTGCAAATAAATTGTAATAAGGAACTGTAACTTCCGTATGTTATAAGGAAAAAATTATTTAAAAATTCTGGGGAAATAACAGCAACAAAAAAGTGAAATAGAAAAAATTGTGTTTTCCCGCTGAAAAAAGGACTGCTGCTTCATCTATTCGAAATGTGTTTTGGTTAAAGTAAAATAGAAATGTGAAGTTGTGAAGTGAAAAAATAAATCCTTTAGGTTTTTTAGTTAAGCAGGCTCCTAAACTCTGATATTTGAACAAAATTTTAATTAAAATTTATAATTATGTTTAATCTATTTAAGCATAATTTTTAGGTGCCAAATTTTAATAAATTAAGGACACTCATCAACATATTGATGCATTTACTTTTGGTCGAAAAATATTGACTACTTATTTATTATTTTTCGAATTTATTTTTTTAATACCACGACTCAGTCCCTTATGCCTTGATTTATTTTATTCTTAAGCAAGAGAAATTAACAGTATATACAGTACTAAGGCTTAAGAGCCTCTCATTTATGATATTTGAATATTTTATTTTCGAATCCTTTATAACGTATTCGCCATTTTTTTAAAAATCACAACCATTATTATGAAAACTCTATATTAAATCCGATTTGTTACTTTAAAAAATTAAATAAATTTTTGTAAAATTTTGAATAGTTTTGTAAAAATAATGGGGAACAAGGGAACAAATAACAAGGGAAATAAATAAAAAAATTCCAGTAAATTTTGTTATTCTTGTAGAATATATTGTTTTTTTTTTATTTTTTATAAATAATTACATAACTGTGAAGTTTACAAGTTATAATTGCAAAGAAGAAGAACAATATATTATGTACGTATACAATTCTAATACCCCAATTGAAATGACCCTCCGAACCCGAAAACAGAAACCAAAACAAAAATAATTTTAGTTTTTTATTTTTTAATAAAAGGGTGTAAACTAACAATGCGGTAAATGATACCTGCCATAATATTCTTCTACAATAACAGTAATAATTAACTATAAACAAATACAAAACACTTGGTTGTTTTTTTGCTAACAAAAGGGCATAAGGGCAAACAAAAATGAAAAAAATAACAAAATAATAATAAAACAAAAACTAGTGGTAGAACGGCAAACTTTAAATTTCCCCTATACCCTAGAATTTATTTTGATGTCCTTTTTTTTTAATAACAATAGAATGGAGAGAGAGAGAGAGAGAGACACTATAAAAAAAGGATTAAGAACAATTCAATATGCTTGCTATTATATGATGTTATTATAAGGGTCTGTTACAAAAAAATTGTGTATAGAATAGGAACAATTCGCGTTAAAAATAAAATAACAAAAAAAAAGCAACAACAAAAGAGTGAATGGTTACACTATCCCACTCTATATAATAAAATTTAATTGTTCACCTTGTGTGACAAAAGAGTGATATCATCTATAATTTAATATATATATCAAAAAAAAAATAATAACAGTATTATTTACTTAGGCCAAAAGTCTTAGTTAATTAAAGTGCAACAGTTTTATAAAATTTTTTTATTTATTTATTTTTTTTTTCCTACAAAATATAATGAAATTGACATTCAAAGGATATGGATATATGGGTCATATTGAAATTATTTGGATGAACACAGAAGAATAATGTATAACTGTTGGTGCTAACAATGTGCGCGCGTGAGAACTCTGATTTAATTGTTATCATGTTTTTGAAGGTTTTGTATAACTTGTGTATGGCTTTAACGTAATTTCAATTACAATTTTTGTAATGAAGATTAATTATGTATTTAGTATTATTGAACAGTTTTTGTTCTTTTAGGAAAAAATTTGGAATTTGTATTAAAAACTGCTATTATTATTGGTTTGCCTTTTGTATTACAGAGAAATGATATAGAAGTGAAATTTTCAAATTCAATTCTTATTTATGTATCGTATTTATGCATGTGATTTTCTTCATTTCTTTTCTATTTCTAAAAAGTAGACTTAGAGAATGAGAATATACGTTAGCTATGTTATACAGCCGGCATATTGCTAGATATTCAAGTAAGAATATTGAATTTTAGAGAAAATTTTATTTAACTAAAAAAAGTTTTGTTTTATTTATTTATGATTCATTCAACATGTTGTTTCTCATAATCTATCATTGATGAGTAAATCCAAAATGCTTCCTAGAATCCGCGATATTCAAAAAGTACGCGAATTTGTCGTCAGAATAGGCATTGGAGCGATTATTTGGAGATCTCGTTTTACTTTCTCCAGAAAATTTTATATTTTAATCAAAAATTTACACCATCTGCCTTAGAAAGTTCCCGTTTCAATATTGAGATGAGCAAAATTTTTTGAAAAACTTTGAATATTTTGAAGTTTTTTATGTCAGAACGAAAATGTGTCAGAAAAGACTTACATATACAGGGTGTTTCGTAACAAAGTGCACTGCTATATATTACATAGGTCTTCATGAGTAGACAAAAATTTTGTATGGAGACGATGATCACAGCTCAACAAGCTCATAGTTATAGGCGCTTAAAATCAATCTTAACAAATTTTTTTACTTTTTGAAATTTTAAGTATAACTCCGTGTTTGTGTTAGATGCGTGTATTAATAAACATTCATTAGAAACCTCAGAGCTTTCTTATGAATGTCTACATTAGTTATAATCTATTCAGATTTCGGAATCACATGACTTTAAAGTTTTAAAAAAGTTTATGAAATTTTAAGTTTTCATTTTTAAAAAACGTTAATATTCTAAGTGACGTGACATTGGAGGTTTTTCCAATTTTGGTACAGCTGGCAACCTTGTCAACTGAACTTCAATCTGGTATACAGCTCATCACGTTACCTCATCTGGTTTAGGAGTTATTAAGAGAAATACAGTATTATACTATAAATGCTATTTTATACCAAATTTTTTACTTCAACTACTTAGAAAAATGTACAACACCCGTTGAAAATGGTGTCTCTGTTCTGTTATGCAAATGTTCAACTCAACAACCGAGTTGTATTCATGAAACGGGCACTGTAATGGAAGTTAAACTGAATTCTGGCTTATTAATATTACAAATTTAGAAGGCTCTCCAAGCAGAATAATTTTGATATACATAGAGGAATGCCTTATCTTTTCTACTGAGGTTTTGAAAGAAATGCTATTATTAAGCATAATGCCTATTGCCTACTATATTGCTTATTGAACTCAAAGTCCTCAAATAAAATGAAAAAAATTTGCTTATCGTCTGAGTTATAGATGTTCAAAAAAAATTTATTACAAAATAATGACAAATTGGCTAACACCGTCGCTACGCTATATGTTATTTGAATATTAATTAAAAAAAAATATTTGGCAAGCATAACTATACAAGCACCACTTCATTTTCAGTTTTTCTTTAATTTGTGATTTTTATATTGTTTGTCTAATCTGTATTTGAAAACTATCCAAAAATTTCTTATATATAAATGCTATGTGTGTTGGTGTGTGTCTATGTAATTAATGTGCAACCGTACGGCTATATAATCTTGACAATATTCAAAAATTTAGTACTGTTTTGGAAA